GAATATACATGGTTAAGTTTGACACCAGCTCTTACTGGAAGGGGCTTGGGCTTTCTCCATTCCATGAATACGCTGATGTAAGTAGTTGCAAATATACTTAATAACCTGTATACACTGACTGTGTAGCGGAATCAGCTGGAAAGAACAAATACAGTCCTTTAATACCAAAGGAGCAGCATCATTCAGTGAAATGCTTTGCTGCCACACAACATTGGACAAATAAAGGCAGTAAAAACTAAGTAAAAACTCAGCCAAAGGAAGTAGCCAACTTCCCTGCAAATACTGATACAGCTTTTCCAAAGTGGAGCTGTGCCCATTCACCCAGTCACACCAGTAGGGATCTTTGTTCAAAAAGAGCTACATTATTCAAAAGCAGACAGGATTTATTAAAGCAAACAAGAAAATAAAAAATGTATAGACCTGTAGTTATGGGAAAAAAACCCAATTCTTTCTGGTGCGTAATTTTTTTAATGATGTTCAGAACTAAAATATGTAATTAAAAAAAAAAGAAGGCATAAAAATATAAAGAAATAAGCATAGTGGGAAAGGAAAAGTTAGTTATTTCATCATACTCATATTTCATAAGCAGGCCAGCAATATAATCATGTCCTGTCCCTCCTTTTGCTTTCAGACCTACACTGATTTATTTTGTGCTCTATTTTACTACATTTACATAGCACTTCCAAAAATCTGTTTAAATTCATGCGGCTTAATCTGTCATTACACTTGAGTTTCCCCAATTTAAGTAGTCTGGAATAGCTACTGGTAGTGTTGTAGAACATTTTAAACCACAAGTTTATGAAGCTCTGAGGAAAATTAAAACTAAGGACTGAGGCCCAGGTCCATAAAAGTCTGAGGTGCAGTTTGGGTGATTTAGGTCAAATAAACAAAACTCAAAAATATTCCCTAACCGTTTGGGTGTCTGAAAGTTGTAACTGCTTTGCCTCATAAGGTGCTTAAAAGTGCCTGGTTGAGACTGTTCCAGCCAGGATGTTGAATAAGATTTTCCTTAACATAATACCCTACAGGTCAGTAAACTAGCCTGGGAAGTGTGTAGAGTTCAGTAACTGTGTCTGTGTACAAGGCAACTGAAGCCTACGGTCCTCACATCCCAGGAGCTTAGACTTTGTCAGGACTGGGACGTAGGAGAGAACTCGCTAGTCCTCTTTTAGAAAGTACATCATGGTTTAGAAAACAGATCAAATAATGGGCTAATGAGAGCCAAAGAAAGCTTGAGCTTGACCCAGGTGATGACATTTTCCTGGCAACTGGGTGTCCCAAGCTCCAAGGGACTGATTTGGAGAGCAGCAAATTAGAATTGCCTTAGGGCAAAGGTTTTCTCTTTGTTCTGGCAAGTCCAGTCATTCAGTTCTCAATGCAGGAACTGACCCAACACCAGTAGTGCTAAAAACAGGAGGGGGCACTGAAGTACAGAAAGCAGCTTTGGGCTCCAACTTGTACCTTGCTTGGACACCTCACACAGAGGTTCTATTTAAATTCACCAGGCGGAATTTCACCCCAGTCTTTCTTATTGGTCACTTGAGATACCTCCCCCTCATTCTCCCTCTCCACATCCACAAAGTAGTTGCCTGGCTCAGCTGTAGGTATCTCCACCTAGCTTCACTGCAGCCAAGGCTCTTTGTGGACCTTGGTCCAAATCTCAGAAATTTCTCAGTCCTCAGCAAGCATCACAAAGTAACGGGGAGCACTACCCTTCAGAAAGGTAAAATCACTGAACAGAACTGGCAAAGTACTCTGCAGATGAAATCGTGTGTTCTTCTTTGTTCTTAATATGGTAGTTTTGAATATCTGTAGTTCATCCTGATCACAAGTTTTCTCTTTTCCAGGTGGTCTTCACTGCTAATGATTCCGGTCACCGCCACTATACCATTGCTGCTCTCCTCAGTCCTTTCTCCTATTCAACCACTGCTGTTGTCACTGATCCCCAGGAATAAACATGTATTGTCCTTACACAAAAACTCTCCTCCACTAGAACTATCATAGGCTTTCAGGAGGAAGGGTTTTCCTACTGCTAACACATAATGTTTTGCTACATTAGATTGTATTTTTTTTCATTTTGTAACCTGGCAAACTTCAGACAAGTCAATAAAATATTACTTCTTTAAAACAGTTTTGACTCTATTGGGGCAGTTTTATTGTGTTCTAAGGTATCATATTTTTTTTTTTTATTTGCATTGAAGTGCAAAGGACATCTGAAAAATACATGACAGATGGCACTTGATTTAGTTCTGTTACCTTCCTCCACCACCTTAAAAAAGTCTCATCAAATACAGCGGCTCAAAATAAGAAATTTACAGAGTTGTGCTACCTTAAAAAATTTACCAAATACATGTCATCAAAATAAGAAAGTCATCCATGCTACTCCTAGTTTACACACGGAAGAGATGGTCCCATTCTCAACTAGGTCACTGGATAAAAAGGGGAAATTCTAAATTCCGAGCAGCAGAACAACAATGGAGAAGCTGTTCAAATACGTATGTCCAGAGAACTGAAAGAGTTAAAATCTGTGTACCTTTATTTAAAACTTCACGTAAACCTCAACACTCTGGTGTTTCAAGAGGAAAGTTTGCTGCTCAGTCAATCTAGGAAGTTCTGAAGTAATTTCAGTTAGCACTGTTTCTAACAGCTTTGATATTAAAGTGATTATTTGATATAACCCAGTGGGCTACCCTCCTCTGGTGCATTCCAATTAAATCTCTAACAAGTCAAATCTCTAGCCATCATTAAAAAGAAGCCCTAAAATAGAAGCATCATTTTAATATTCTCCTCATATTTTCAGAAATAGGAAAAAGCTGTAGAGTGACTGTAATTCAAATAATGTTGCTGATAAACTGACCAAAGACTTTAAGAGCTTTAGCAGTGATTTCTGTAGACTCATGGCCTATTGTATTTAAAATATCCTGAAGCAGGGGAACTGGGTTTTAAATGCATTACACAAATTACAGAGAAAGATACTGAAATCACGATGACCACTCATTAGCCACTGACCTTGGAGTTTACCCCTACATCCAGAGCTTGCTGGGATGTTGGCATACCAAGTGAATTCACAAGTTACAAAAGCTTACCTTTAACATTTCATTATTTGGTTGCTTTTTCCCCGGATTTCTGGACACTACCATAATTACATAACACTTGTAAACAGTACAAATAGTTTCAAAACAGCACCCATCTTGAAGCATGGAGGCTATGTCAAGCCCTCAAAATAGGACCTAAATATGTTCATATAGGTGTAGTCATCAAAAACCAAAACAAAATAAAACAAATACTGTGTGTAGTCATCCATCTGATGACAGGATAAACCTAGTAAGAGTGTATGTATATGTATATGTGTCTAACCAAAGATCAAAGAAAGACAAAGTTTAATTTCAAGAAGTAACATTTCCCTAAAATGAAGCAGATATTTCTGAGAGGAACTGACTTGCAGTTGTACAGGGAAGGTCCTGAACTTTTAGTGACCTAAAGGACAAATAAAGTGATAGGACTTAAAACAGTTTAACTGTGCTTCAGAAATGGTTGTGTAGGTATCTAGGTATAATGCTGGAAACCAACATATTTTTCCTCCATGGGGGATGCATAAGATAACTAGATAGCCCAGACACTACCCACTTACCTTTAACTAGAGGTGGGAAGAAGGCCACCACAGAAAGAAATCTCTTAATAGACTCAGTTAAGCCAAACCATAAACACAGATAATTTCTCAGGGTAATAGTGAATCGGGTAACATCAGGCTGGTAACCCATCACTATTGGGGTTCTGCAGGGCTCCATCTCAGCCCCTGTCCTCTTCAGCCTCTCCATAAATTACTTGGACACAGGATTGGAAGGCATACTAAGCAAGTTTGAAGATGACACAAAACTGGGAGGAGCTGTTGCCTACCTCGAAGGCAGGGAGGCCCTGCAGAGAGACCTTGACAATTTAGAGGACTGGGCAATCACCAACCATATGAAGTTCAACAAGGGAAAGTGTTGGATTCTGCACCTAGGATGGGGCAACCCCACATGTACGTACAGACTGGGGAATGAGAGGCTGGAAAGCAGTGCCATGGAAAGCAAGCTGGGGGTCCTGGTCAATGGCAAGTTGAATATGAGTCAGCAGTGCCCTGGCAGCCAGGAGGGCCAACTGTTTCCTAGGGGGCATCAGGCAAAGCATCACCAGCTGGTTGAGAGAGGGGATTGTCCCACTTTGCTCTGCACTGGTGCAGCCTCACCTTGAATATTGTGTGCAGTTTGGGGCACCACAAGATAAGAAAGATATTAAGCTATAACAGAGTGTTCAAAGGAGGGCAACAAAGATGCCTTGAGAGGAAGCCATACAAGGAGCAGCTGAGGTCACTTGGTCTGTTCAGCCTGGAGGAGACTGAGGGGAGACCTCATCACACTCTACTACTTCCTCATGAGGGGAAGAGAAGGGAAAGGCACTGATCTCTTCTCTGTGGTGACCAGTGACAGGACCCACAGGAATGGCCTGAAGTTGTATCAGGGGAGGTTTAGGTTGGATATTAGAAGAAGGTTCTTCACCGAGAGGGTAGTTCAGTATTGAAACAGGCTCCCCAGGGTCACAGCACCAAGCCTGCTAGAGTTCTAGGAGTGTCTGGATGATACTCTCAGGTACATGGTGTGAGGGTTGGACTTAATGATTCTTGTTGGTCCCATCCAACTCACCATATTCTGTGATTCTGTGAAATTGCTAAGTTGACACAAAATTTGTGTTTCCCTCAACTATATGAGATCAATACAGCACTACTCCTCAATAAAAAGAGAAAAATATACCAGAATAGACACTGTTTCCAAAAACATTGATCACTGTAGTTGAACTAGGCAATATTCACAGTATTTCTACAACCAAGGATAGAACAGACTTCTGTTTGCAGACAAGGTTCATGTTTGTATGGGTTACTTATTTTCTCATTGTTTACTAAGTAAACAATATGAATCTGCATGTTACAAGTCATATGGGTTTTCTGATAAGTAACTTCATTTTAGAGGCTTTGATATAAAAATCAGAGATCCCATCAGTTTCTGCCTCCTGGCCCTGAGACTTCCTAGTGGTAGGCAAAATGGCTTTTTCTTCTGTATTTCTTGTTTTCTTAGCTGGCCTGACATTTTGCTCTGAAGCTTCATCACCGGTAAGTGTCTCAGGATTTAAGTCCTTCTAATGATGTAGACCCAACTTTTTCATTTTACTTTAATTAGTACAGGCAAAACCCCAGAATATTCTATTTTATTGCAATTATTTTGATTTCATAGTATATACTGACTCTAGTTCTCTGCTGCTGCTCTTCTCTGGTTCTCCCTTCTCCTTCTCTAGTGACTAGCGAGAGGACTTTATGGTTACAGAAGTAGCAATTGTCATTAGACACAGCAACTATACAAAACCCAATGAAAAACAAAAAAGGGAAAAACTATCATATTCACTACACGAAAAACCTTGAGCCTGTTGAAAAGTAACTAATAATAGCCTTCATAACATGATGAGCAAGCTGTGTCATGAGGGATGTCATTTCCAGTTGCAAGACTGTTGCAGAAAGGCCTTCTCTAGACTTCTGCCTTACTGCTCTATCTAATACAGCTCAACCTGATGTAAGCAAAAAGGGATCTCAAGACTCATTGAGGCAAGGAAAGAACAGAGCCAAAGTCAGGATCTTCTTCCAGAGGGCTCATTTATTCCAGCAAATTAAGCTAGCAACACAGATGCCTCAGTCTGAAATTCTCCTACAACAGCCTCATCTCTCTCTTGTCAACTACTCATGTTTCCTCTCAAGCTCTGATCTTTGGGAAAATTAAAACATGATCAAGCTTGTTGAGGAATTAAGACTTTTATTGAGCTCCCAGGGTGTAAAAGCCAGGCAAATCAGTGGTAGCAGTGCAACCCTCCTTGCCAAGGTCTCACAAGAAACACTAGTGAGTCCCTGCATTCCAGAAAGGAAGTGTGAGGAGTCTAGGCATACAGGCACTATAGATATATGCTGATACATTGGCGGGATACAGGGCAGGGATACAGGCCAATGGGATGTTCAGTACATCTCAGACTGTATGAAGGGGTGAAAGAGAGGGGTCTTAACTTTTAACAATCTACATCACGATTCATTTTGCAACGATTACATGGATATCAGTGACTGCTATTTTGAGACCATCTCTGATTAGCACCTTCTACAAAGCTCTATTTTCTCACTTTTCATCTGTAGGATCAGGTAATGGAAGGTCAAAGCCCTGATTCAACTCTATCTTTGAATAGCTAAAACATCAGGGCATAATCACTACTTGTGATGAACATGTTGGGAGTGAAACATGCCATCTTTGAACAAAGGTTTTCCTCTCCTATCCCTGTATAGCTGTCAGGGCTGACAAATCTGATTCAAAATGCTGTTAGGGAAGAGTCTGTATGTGGTGCTTATCAAGTTTACAGCAGAATTAAGAAAATGGCAACAAGATATCAGAGGTATCTCAACTCCAGAAAGCTGTGCTCAAATTGCCACTTCAAAATACAGAGGAAGACTTGGCAGATTTTTAAACAGTCCTATGACCTTTGATGGTTTATTTCCTGTTGAGGCCACAGTTTAGTTACAACTTCACGCTAGAGATGATGTGTAGCTAAGCCATGCCAAAGAGCTGCAGTGCCTCCCTGGTGTACATGGCTACACGCACAACAGCTCCAGACATCTTCCTCCCTGGCTCCACCATATCCAGTCCCCAGAAAGATTCAGGTTATGTTTCTGCAGTATACAGTGATCTTGTTGTGAAAAATATGGTCTGTGCTGTAGATCTGAAGAATAATACTCATTACTGCTTTACGATGCACCATCGCATACCCTTCTTGCAACATAAAAATTCTCTTTTCCTATTGAAGGACTCTCCTGACTCCAAGCATCCTCTTTACATAAGAGTTCTGGATTCACTCCGAGGAACTCCAGCTCCAAATGTTCCAGTTAAGTTATATAAAGAAGCTGCAGATGGATCTTGGGAACTGTTAAATTCAAAGTAAGTCATACTAAAATAATGAGTGAAAGACAGGAAAGGCAGTGGGAAGACGCAAAATAGTTGAAAGACCAGTTCCACATTCTCTTAACGTGAGATGTCTTTTTTGCTCAGAGGAAAGATTATGTACTATTGAATTAATTTGCTGCAGACTGCCTTTTAAATGTACTACAGCTTCAACTACCAAAATGGGTTTATAATGCTTTATAATTCCTATGAGCACAAGGAAGTAAACTACCCTTTAATTCTATCATTGCTTCTTCTTCCATTTCATTACAAAGGTTTATATTACTTATAGTTTGAAACCAAGACTCTGGTTGGAAATCCTGCCTTCACTGGCTGTTTTCCTTCTTTCTAAATGGATTTGCACTTCATACAACATCACAGCTTTAAGAAACTGTTTTGAACATTTCCCACATCATATTTGATAGCCTTCTTTACTTCAAGACAAAGGACTCGGACAAAAGGACAACATTTGGGGATAAAGCTTTCTCACCTCCTCCCCCACAAAGAAGCAATCACATCTCAAATAACAAAAAGAATCTCCAGATATTTAAATATTGCCATGTCTTTAAAAGAATTTAATTGTAGAATTTCAAGTGTATATATTAACACTTTAAAAACTCAAAAGCAATTTTCATTTCAAGTATAATCTGAAATGAAATTGCAAAAATTCTTAGGGGATACACAGAATGAACATTCTTTATTCAACAAGCAATATTCCACTTCCACACTTACCTCATCAAGACAGTTGTAAAGTCTCAATAGAGACCTTTCCAGGTATGTTAACAGTCTATTTCACAGGGGGGAAAAAAGTGAGAAAGGGCTCCTAAGGGCTAAAGCTGGCACAGCACAGGAATTTCAAAAGTGGGATCCCAGACTCAGATGCATTTCTAGAAATTCCATAAGAAACTGTACATAAGTGGTTCTTTGGTGTCATGGAGCAGTGGGCTGGCAGACGCAACACTGCTCCTATATGCATCCTTGAAAAATATAGCTACAGTGAAGGCCACACATAATTAATCATACAAGGTGGGGAAAGCAATCTATTTACATTGTCCTACTTAAATTGCCTCACACCCCTCAAGTGAGAAGACAACTTCACACATATTTTGTCACTGGAAGTGCTTGATATTTTCCAGTAAGAGAGTGTTCAGTTTACTTATCTTCAAATTTGAGCTTAGAGACTTTATAGGAAGACACTCATCTAAACAGCTGGATGTTGACTGAAGCCTTAATATCTGAAACTAAGAGCAAAGTAACGTCAAGATAAGCTAAGCAATAGTCATGCTAATACTAAATCAACCCCTCCAGCCTTAATAATTGGTAAATAATTGAATGCTAGCAAGAGATTCTGAAATAAATGTTCACAATTAAAGACATATTTGGTATTATCTGAGAAAGCTTATTAGAGAGGTGACTGGTTATCTAGCAATGATCCATCTATGACAAAGAAAAATAGTGACAACTGAATGGATAAAAACATTCTGATAACTGACTACAAGAGCATCTTGTAAAATACAAATGGTGTTCTATCACTTTGTAATTATAAGCTACATTAAAGAACAAATCCTAAGTAATGCTATGGACAATGACTTATTTTTTCCCTCTGCATGCAATTTCAATCAAATATGTTTAAAAAAAGACCTGGTAGCTATAGCACAAAACAGTGGTAGTAGCTACTAAAGTCAGATGCTGGCAGCTCTGATATTTGCAGATAACCTATCTAATAAAAAACTAGTATTATAAAATTTATTTCACAGAAATAGGTTTCAAACAAAGAGATATGACTGAGAGACAGCATAATTGCAATATTGCTTCTGGAACCCTAAATGGGTTAAAAAATGTACAGCTTCAAGCCAGTAGTAGGGCTTTGGATAGCACTGATAGCATCTGCAAACCAAACAAACCCATCTGTTTGCTGAGGATGGAAAACTAACTGGCCAATACAAACTGTAGGGAATTCCATAAGGCTACACTGTTAGCTGACCTAAGGTCATTCATTTCAAATAGCAGGTCTCAAATTTCTAATAGCCAACTGCAAAAAATATTTATACTGATAAAACAACTCAATACATTTAAATAAGAAAGAAAATTATGGAAAAATCAGGAGAGTTGACCCTACTTGGTTGTACAGTAAGTGCATCATAGAGCTTCCACATTGCTTACAGCAGTGGTAAAGTTTTCCCTCTAAGCAGGTTCATTTAATTAACTCCAAGACTCTGCCAAGAGTCTGTGAACAACAATGCCAGTTTTTGGCTCACTCCCAAACCATGCAGAGTAGTGACATGGCAGGCAGCCATCTGCTGTGGTCATTGTGGAAGTAGCAAATGCCAAGATAAGCTCTGAAACATCCATAATACAGATGGACGTAAGCCATTCCAGATCAATAGAAGTATTCATCATATTACTTAAGCTAGGCATCGCTCAAGTTCCATTGCTAAAAACTGCATCTTTCTCGAGTTTTGACCAAAATATAAAAGTGTGTTCTTCTACCACCACACAGACAAACCAATGACAAGGGAGGTCTCCCTGAGCTTACAACTAAAGAACAATTTGGAGCAGGAATATACAAGGTTGAGTTAGACACAACCTCTTATTGGAAGAATATGGGTTTGAATGCCTTCCACCACCATGTTGATGTGAGTATTCATTTTCTCCTGTACTTCAGTTGCAAAGAATAAAGCTACTTAATATGTCTATGCTTTAGTTACTAAGTGCACAAATTGATTACAAAGTATTTTCACGTTGACACTTCAAATCCACAGTCTCAAAGCTTTGTAGCAATGTACCCATGACAGAGCCTAGTTACTCAAATAAGCTCTTAGATGCCTTACTTACGAAAAGGATTTCCATCGTTCTACCTCTGCTTATGCCTGAGATTCTTTTTGTGACTACTCTAAACACTTGAGAGAGAACAACAGGTAGAGTACTCTGTTAAGGCTCCCGGGAAAAGAATTTGTCTGCCCTTTGGACCCAGTTTTTGTATGGCTACAGAAAAAGTTTCTAATTTAGATTTTTTAAGATAATGGAAGTATATACTGTGTTCTGGATGCTTGGATCCTCAGTTTACAACAGAAAGAAAAAGTATAACATGCCTTTTTGATTTGCGTGGGACAAATAAATTGGTTAGAGGAAGGTAGTCCAAACTAGGTACCAAGGGAGGTCTGCTGCAGGATTTGGGACTCCTTGGGGACTGTCCCCTTCCCCTCCACAGCACCAGGGCTTTCCTATGACCTTTCAGGAGCAGCAGTAGCAGTTCTAAATTAGTTGTTTGACAGACTGTGACAGATCTGCTCAGCCATTCCTCATCTCCTTGGAAAAAAGCTGAAAAACATCTGGGTTTTGTTTCTGCCTCCCTGAAACAGATGAAAGATGAAATTCTTATACTCGACAATAATGAAGGTTAATGCTGGATAGCCTTGCCTACTGTAATAACTGAACTAAAAGAGGGAATATAAAAGATTTACAGCATGCAAATAAACTGATTATATATCAAGATGATGTTTCAGTCTACATTTGAGACTAGAAATTAATTTAATTTTTTCTTAAAAATAAGCCTCAGTAGGGATCATGTTTTGCTCAGTTCACTGTTTTTTCATATGCATCTTTTCTATTAATGTTGAAGGGAGCACAAGTTGATACACTGTATCAAACTGTGTCTATTTTAAAAGTTGACACCTCTCATCTCACAACACAAAATAATGTACTATGTAGAGTGAGAAATCAAAGAACAGGACGTGCTGATCGGGGAGACATTAATGGGGCTGTGGTAAACCATTCATATGTAAGGTTATTCTCACACTATGGGCAAAGAACTAATGCAGTCCTTCTCCAACTAGCACATTTGGAAGTAGAACTAAAGAAACTCATTGTTTCATACTTTGGCCTAACAATAATTACTGTCACACTGTTTATTTCTGTTCCTCGAAGTTCAGACTTCATAAGAACAACACAAATATTCAAACACTTGAAAGAATTAGTTTTTTTTTAAATAAAGACAATTTGGATAATAAATATATTTTACATTTTAAATAATGTGATATTCACACTTTTAATATTGAAAGGAACCATTGTGTGAAGTTACATAAAATGGTCACAATGGTTCCATTTAGGTTTGTATCTAGAAATCACTTCTCATTTGTCTTATATTTGCTTTTTCTTTTTCCAGGTGGTGTTCACAGCTAATGATGCTGGTTTTCGACATTACTCCGTTGTTTTTGTCCTTAGTCCCTTTTCTTCCTCAACTACAGCAGTAGTTAGTGAGCCAGTGGAATAGAAGCTGATATTAAGCATGAAAATTCAGATGTGAGAATTAAAACTTCCATAAATGATAAGAACTTAGTATCTGATTGTATCAACAGCTATAAGATTTCACAGTAAATCACTGTATTTCTGTATTCTGTCAGTATTGCCCTTCAGAACAAAAGTTTAGGGTTTGAAAAACAAAATAAGCTCAGGAAAAAATGTATTGAAATTCCACTACTGAAACTCTGAGAATAAACCAAAGTCTTGCATGAAGTTAATAAACTACATTTCTTTTTGCAAAGGAGGTGAATAAAACACATCTGAAAGGTGTCTCATGAAAAGTAAGCAAATACCATCTCCTATACTTTGTCACTGAAGCCCACAACAGATGAAGTCACATGGGATTACTTACTCCAGGCCCCACATAATTATCAGATAAAGTCACCTCTCAATTCTGACTTTTGAGATATAGAAGCAAAAGCAGCTTAAAAGTAACAGCAAGGTGGAATAGCGTTTAAGGATTCTAACTATGCTACACATACTTAAAAGGCTTTCTTTCCTGTTTTCCAATATATCATACCTGGTGACACTTCCAAGGAGAGTCCATAGCCAGTGTTTCAGAAAAGCATATTGATCAAACATACCTGAAGAAGTTTATTCATTTACTTTCAGAAAATTCTAAAAAATAATTTGTCTCCAGCTGAAGTACCCCTCAAAATTACTTGCATACCTCTAACCATCTGACACTTTAATAGCTGTAAGGTACAAATGAAAATAAGGATAACTGATGATTCCTGAGAAAACCAATTTCCTATTTAATGTCAGAAGAAATATGGATGAATCCTTCTATTCCCATTCTAGTAATCCATATACAAGGAAGAAAGACTACGATATTCAACAGAATAGCAACTCTGTCTTGGAAAAGTATGCAAAAATATTGAGTAATTTAGCCTAATAAAATCAAAAGCTGAAAGCATACAAATACCAAAAAAAAGGGAAAACACTTTGCTAGCCTAGCACTTCATCCTGTCACAGCCCAATCTGATATATTTGGACAGGTGTAATCCTTCCTTTTGCTGTTACTTTAGGGTTCTGAGCACTAGAAAAATGAGCACTTTGTCTAGAAAAAAAACACAAAGATGATATGTTTTCCACAGAACCTCAGAAAAAACAAACCAACACAATCTTTAGAACATTATATTTCATAAAAGACAATGATAGAAAAGTACAAACATTTTCATGAACAACAAAAATAAAATAAAAAAAACCAAAGCTATGATAGTACACAGGAAATTCCCAGCATTTGTTTCAGTGCATTTCTCATTAAGCCTATCTCATATACCTCTACAAATAAAATATCTTAGGTACACTTCCTCTTGCTGATATGCAATGGACCCTTTCAGTTTTTTTAAATAACCGGCTCATTAGTGACCCACTACAACACAGTCATTAGTAAACATAACAATAGAAAAATAGACTGTCAAGATCCAAAAAAAGGCCATTTTGCACTTGCTTTTCAATATACTGTCTATTGCAAAATGGACTTTATGTTTTATATCCTCCGACAAATTTAAAATATAGAAAATGGGCTTAAGAGTATCTTAGCATATCAACCAGATTCCAATCTTAATAATTCTGTAATGTTTTTACTTGTTAATTTGCAAGACCTTTAGAATCTTGTAAAAGACACCCTTTTTCCTCTCCCTCCATGTTCCCTCCTTGAAGAGATGTCCTTAATTTGCACTGTCAGCAATGCAAAAGCCAATGTGATTGGCTTCTTTCTACATTTTACAAGAATCATGAAAATATCAAAAGGAATGTGCACAACTCTTAGTTCTGCATCATATTTATTTTGTTTGAAGGCACTGTCTATGTTAAAATTCACTACAGAATAGTACTGAGTTCAAGCAGGTAGTATACAAACACTATTGTGATGTAATTTAAGATGGCAACTTTTAAAACTTCCCAACAAAATGATAAAAGGTACTTAGGGAATAGTGTTGGTCAGCAATTCATAATTTAACATCCATCACTTTGGGCACCAAAATGTAAACGTTTTAAGAACTCAGCTATATGTCACAATTCATTCACGTACTGGTTTAAATCACATTTTTCTAGGACCATACATGATCAATCACTTAAAGCTGTAAAGTTATATTAGTTCAGCCACAGCAAATGTGTAATATAGTATGTATATATGTAAGTATATATACATATATATGAATTAGATTTTTTTTTAAATTGCACATAAATTTCACAGAATGCCTAACGAATGGGCACAAAAGCATGCTTCAGAAAACAGTACAGACCTATGGTACCAAAGGATGCTTCACAATCATAGGTGTGAAACTGAAGGTGAAATTGTACTGAAAACCAGAAATCACATCAAAATTACATCAAGGATTTAAAAATTTATTCAACTGTTCTTGAAGAATAGTATTAGTCTGCTACGAAATGACTAATTTTATTTTGAAGATATAATTGTTCATACACTGTATTATCTCCTCTTTCTCCATATGCTTCAAAATGTTCTATATAATCAGTTATAGAAAAATCTATTAGGAGGTGATTGAACCACTTCAGCATGCTTTTGAAGGATGTTTTCTTCACTTTATGCTTTTAGATATTTTCACTGTATTACCTCATTCCTAAAGCATATTAGATTAACTGGCAGATTTTAAGGTAATTCCAATATGGTATAAAATATCCCTTACGATTGTTCTCAACTACTTAAATTAAATAATTGTATTTCTACTACATCTTTGGGATGTCTACAACTAAGCTTATAACTTCACTGAAGAATGGCTAAGGGCAGAATATGCTGCTGTGATGTCAAAGTAATAAAAGATGTTAAAGGCAAACTTAAAATATACAAAGCACCACACCATCTGTGGCAGCAATTCAGGAAACCAACACATAGTAATGACTTAAAGTTAGTATTCTTTGTCAACACTCTTGAAGAACACTCCATGGATAAACAATCCTTATTATATATATACTGCTTCCCATTCTTCATGGGAGCAGAAGTCAGTCTTTGGTTCCTAAGGAGCTGAGTAACCGTGACAAACAAAACACTTTAGTAGATCTTGGTCAATATCTTTGCATTAACATAGAAAATAAATGACCTGGCCCTTTCCCTTAGTATCAATAAGGGATGTAAAAAAATATTAGGAAAAGATAATAATGCTTAGCAGTGGAATACTTTTCGGTAGCATAACAATACAAGCAAAGAGAAAATAAGAAGATACATTTTTCATTTTAAGTTGAGGAAAGAGGTTCATAGTTACTCATACATACAACACCACAAAAATAGAGAAACAGACAGGACCAATCCTTAGCAGGACTGCACAACCTCAATCTCATTGACAGTCATCGACTTGAGGATACTTAGTGCATCACAGAAGCACGAAGCACCCTGCCAGAATAGGCCCTCAAATAGCTATATTGAATAATGTATTATGAGTGGAATTTTAAAAAGCACTTGGGATTGGCCTGCTTTCAGTTCCGCTTTCGGCATCATCATCCCCATCAGCAGAACAGTGTGACCAACACCGTGGTTCTGAAAATCCCACACTGCAAGCATTAGAACTATTAGAACTATGTTTTATTATTCTATTAAAAATCTAACTTTGATATTCTTCCAACGAAGACACATTTTTGGCTCTTCTGATTTTGGAGGAATAAAAGTGCTGTTTACTAGGATTCTTTTTTTTTTTTAAAAAGAACAATACCAAAATACTGTACGCATTCAGACACATTGTTTTAGGCATTAAAATCCCTGACATTGACACAAGTGGCACACTTGGAAACAGTTAGAGTTCCTGTAGATCATAATAGGCAACAAGCGCAAGATCTTCTGTAATACACATGCAATATGCACATAAATAGACTTTAGATGGCAGGCAGGGTATCATACAATTTTGCTGGCAATAAATAAAATTAAAAGCTTTTTTCCTAGCAAGTTCATATATGAAATTGATTTTTCTATATAGATATGCAGGAGGCCTAGAGCTCAAAACTAGTATAACAGTTTACAGTCATAGCTGGCCAACAATTAATATTTCCTTCATTTTACATAAGGTATAACCTTTTTACAAGCATACTTACATTTTACACTTGTTCTTTCATGCTAATAAAAACATTCCTATAGAATTCAAACAAGAACACACTCAAATACATAATGAAGCATAAAATATTGAACAACTGAAAAGCAATGTACACACATTCATTTACATCACATATTTACAAAACACATTTAAAAAGAAACAAGAGCATTCATTTAAATACGAGGGGGGCGGCAGTTTAGTATAAAAAAATTCCTGGAAGAGGCTTCTGTCCTTACTTCCAGAGAAGCTACAAGTCTGTTTCCTACAGTCTATTTAGTTGAATGGTTAAGATAGAGAATATGAAGAGTGAAGGCTTGAACAGTAGTCTCATGCTGTAAACATCTGAGTGGTAGCTGCTGGCTTTTCTTTCAGAACAAAACGCATGGTACATACAATAATTTCTCATCTCAAATATGCATCATCAAATGGTCAAAAAACTCTAATTCTAAACTGCTGTTTTGTTGGGTTTGTTTTGGTTTGGTTTACAGTGTCTATTAGTAGCTTCCAGTGTTAAAAGTTTATTCTGGTAAGGTAGCTTGTCATTCCACTTCCATCAATAGTCTCTAACAGGAGCAAGTTCTGGTATGAGATTAACAGTTATATTTTTATACAATCTACTGACAAGTATTTTAGGAGTATATACTAAATTGTTCAATCCATCAATATACTGACGTTCTCTGGAATACCTCAGAAGTTTATATCTGCAGAGGGAGTTGGAAGAAGAAAACATGAGAAAGATTTGCAAGAAACAATTTAATTGATGTCAGACATGACACTGTGACAGTCATTTCATTTTGAAATACATCTTAAATTCTCAAACTACCTTTCTGCCCTTTGAAATTACCAAATTACCTACCTAAGCTTTGAAAGCAAGATTTTAAAGATTTTTAATACAGTTAGATTTTATGGTCACATACACAAGTCAATATTAAGACTAAATAACAAAGGAGGCATTTAATATGTATACTTTTTATGGTCCCAAACTAAGCAGATTTTTAAAGATTATTCAATTTCTTCATGTTGTTTTGTAATAAAACTCAACTGGGGAGCTCAGGGAAATATTTAGAAACCTTCACTGGTCATCATTACACATTTAAATGCCTAAATTGTTTTTCATTTCATTCTTAAGACTTCTGCATTTGCAAACATCTAAATTTGAGGTGATTAAAAAAACTGGTTTCCCTCCACCAGATTACCAATTTATACATTTTAGTTTCATATAACAGATTTACTCATGTCTACTGTACATGTCTATTTTAAAATTATGAATAAAACAGAAAAAAGATGTTCCCAGAAAGAGACACCCACTGAAAACAGAATTGAGCAGTACTTCTAATTACCTGAAAACACACATCATAAACCCTCTATTTTGTGTTTCACATTCTAATTTTTACATTTAGCTCATCTGCTGCATTCTGGTTGCTATTCCAGTCTAGGGCAGCCAGAACCTACTGGCCACCTAAAGTGTTTTCCATGTTTGTGGCAAAAGAAAGGAATCCCAAAAGGAAAATTTATGTCAATGTATGCAGGAAATGAGAAGACCCACATCTCAGAAAATAATGAAAGATGATGGAAGAAACCAATCCTTGAGGAGTTTTAAAGTCTGTTTTCATGCAGGAGTCGCTTGCCCTAGCTGTACTCCTTCCTTTTGAAAAATATCCAAA